CCCTACTACTATTTCTTTTTTTCATCTGGCCTTGTGCTATATTAAATTTTAAATACTGATTGCTTCAAAAATATCAGTTATCTTGGCTTAGTAACTTCATTTCATAGGGAAAAAAGATGCTTTCCATTTGGACTGATATTTACTATTAACCTTACAAGACCATGAGTGTGTAGAATCCAATGAAAATTGAACTCATTTCAGTAATAATGGCCTGCAAGACAAACTTGCCAATCATCATTCCAGTGAGGTATCCATCAGTATTAAGTAAACTGCTACTTCATTTTTACTGTTACATTTATTCCAAATTTCTAATGTTTTAGTCTCTATATTTCTCAGTCATTTTTCATTTAGTTGACTGAAACCATTTTGCAACTATAAAGAATATATTATGAATATTCCCTCCCAAAAGTATTCTTTGTTGCAAAATTAGCATGCTAATTTTGCAATAAAGAATAAGCTACTTTGAAAATTTTAGGAAAATATACCCATGAAAAATACTGTTAAAAAAAAAAAAATCAATGAGTTTGATTTAAGTTTTTAATAGCTCAGATATTTGAACATGGATTTGTAAACAAAAAAAAAAAAAAAAAAAAAAAGAAAATAATTATTTCAATTTCTACAAAGATTTAAAAAATGTATAACAGTTGTCTAGGTTTCAATTACAACTTCTCTAAACAAGGAATAAAAAAATCAGAAATTCAAGCAGGTAGAAATTTAACTGTCATTTCTCAAGCAGAGAGGAGATAACTCTTGCATTTAAAAATCCAACATTTATTCCAATTTATAAGAAAATTATTTCATAGATATTTGAAGGTGTAAAAGATAAAGTGCAGGTTAACTTTTTCTTTTATAGTCATTTCTAGTCTTCAAAGTACTGATTCCATTCATATTAAATTGATTAAGAAAATCTTTTAATAACCTGCAACATACACCATTCTTTCAGGTGCTATTTTGCAACACTTTTTTTCTTATTTTTGTTCCTAAAAATTTATTTTGGCATTTTTGCTGCTAATCTATTATTTATTTGGTGCTGATCTCTTAAAGATTACAGATTTAATCATAATAAAAAAGGGGTAGCAAATATGAACAGAATAGTTTTTTTTTTTAAATTTACATTTTAAGATTAAAAATGAACAAAATTGAAATAGAACCAAATTTTGCTGAGTTATTTGATCAAATAAAAAGTTATTGCAAAATAATTTTCCCTATGATATTTATAAATATTACTCTATGAATAGTATTAAAAGCTACATTTTAATATTAATATCATTTGATAAAAGAAAAATTTATTTTTCAGATGTATAAGCTAAAATGTCAGTATGGACATAGTAATCAGCTACCCATACTTGAGAAAAAAATTGCTTTGAATTTAAAAATATCTCACTAAACTTTAGCTTCAATAAAGGAATTTAATTGAGAATTAAATTAAAAAAATAATAATAATATATACTTTATAAGAAAGTTATGCAATTTTAAACTTGTTCACATTTGTAAATCAATTTGTTTTTGTACTATTGATTTTAAAAATTTGTACAAATGGGTAAATTTTATGCATCAATAGGAATAAAATTTTCAAGAAAAGTTACGGATCACTTTAATTATAGATTTTCACTTTACAAATATTTTTCTTGTAGTTTTTTGGGGGGTTGGGGGAGGTGGGTACACTACTTTAAACCTAAGTTTTTATAAAAAAAAAAATATATATAGTATTTTCTATTACAAAAAACAATGAAAAACCAATAAATTTTATACAGATTATTAAATGTACAGAAAACAAAAAATTAGTAAAATGAGTGTCATGTATATAACCATTTATTTCAACAATGAAGAATTTCTTATTCATGTATTATATACAAAAAATAGGGGAATAACTCCTACATTTTTGATCTTATAAAAAAGTCAAACACTACTATGGTAATCTACGTTTTTGAATGATAGTATAAACCAAAGCAATTTGTGTTAAAATCTTTAAATAGTGCAACTTGTTTAACTATTTTAAATACTGCAAAAATAGTTTCTTAATTCACTTTAATGACTTGGGAAATTAGTAAAAGTTTATTAAAATATGATACCAGATTTCTTAAAATTTATTTGCATGTGGTAGGGGCAAATTTTAACTTAAAAAAATAAAAATACTGAACAATAAATGATATTGAAAATGATCTTTAACCAAACAAAAAAATGAATAAATTAAGACTTTGGTGCTAAATAATGTAATAGGATAATTCCTTTCATGAAGGATTTAATCTGTACTTTTTAAAATACTATAAAAAATAACTTTTTTAATACAGTACAGCCTGTTTATAACATGGTGTGAATTTCTATGTCCATAAATATAAAATGCTTCTTCTTAACAAGTATTTGATATGGGCTGCTGTGAAAAATCTTAAAAATACTGAACAACATATTTGAAAAATATACTACAAAAATATTTACTTTATGTGAAAAATAAATTAATTAGAGCTTGAATTTAAATATAAATTTCAGAAAATTATTCAGAAGTATCATCCTCAACAGACAAATGTGAAAAGTTGTAGGAAAAACAATTTTGAAACCAATCATTTTGCAAATAATAAAATATAATCCTTGTTTTTTTTTTCAGAGGAGCCACTTCACCATTTTAAGGTACAGAGAAAAATTTTCAATTGTAAGAAAATGTAAATGTATTGAAAACATCAAGCAAAATGGGAGAGTAATATTTATGTATTGTCACAATGCTGATGATTCTATTAGAAAAAGAAAAGGTTTGGTAATGATAATTCACAGAAGTTATCTAAAGTAATCAACCAAAGAGAAGAGTTAAAAAACAATCAGAAATCAATTAATTCATTAGTTGTAATTAAGTCATCAAAACAATTTTAATAAATTTGCAAACAGGACTCAATATATGTGATTAATTGCTTATTGTACTAAGATAAGTCAATTAAAAATATGGAAAGGAAACTTTTTTTATAAGATTTATAGGACTTTCTTGTTGGTCAATTTAAAACAGGAGCTACAGGACATAAAATCAAATATTTGACTGTGACCAAAAGATATAGCATATCCAAGATCAGAATTCTTACACACTCAGATACTGATAAATTCTCTTCTTTTTGTTTTTATGATCTAAATTTGATAAAAGAAAAAAAAAAAGAGAAGGTAACATCTGTAATTATATATACCCATCTTCTTTGTGCCATGTCCCTTCACGACATGGGCAATCCTAACTCTTCACAACTTCCTGTTCTTTATAGCTCTTAGTAAGTTTTGTATACACATAAGAATCAAATATTTTCAAAAGATATACCAATTGTTCAAGATTAACTAATAATTATCTAATAACCTCATAATTTTATTAGAAACCTCATCTACAAGGGTTTAAGTATTATTATCTACATGATTTAAGGTTAAACTGTAACCAAATAAATTATAGAAATTAGTTTTACTTTTTAAAATGTGATTTTTTTATTTACATCATTATGAACAGGAGTGGCAATGTTGTTTATGATATTTAAATAGAAATGTATTCCAGAAAATTTATCTCCATTACTATTTGAATTTCCAAAAACAAACAGATGAAAAATAAATTAATTACTCATATGAACTCAAAAGATGCGAGACTGAGCAAAAACATTTTTATAGTAAAAAAAATGAATAAATAAATCATTTAAAAACTGTTTCATGTTTGTAGAATAATAGAATTACCACATTGATAGGATATTTGGCTTGTTTCAAAGAGAAAAAACACAGAGTAGCTTTTAAAATTCATTTAATGATTGTATAAATTAATCATTGGCAGTATGTAGGGCATAGTTATTTGCTATCCATTTTTCTGATAATCAATCAGAAATAGAAGAAACATATACTAATATCCAAAATAGTAAAATTTACTAAATCTTTGCCAAAAGAACAAATTATTTAGCAAATCTTCTCAAAAGTCAATTGCAGAGAGAATGCAAACCAGATGCAGACCATTGATGGCCTTAACTATCAATAGATGCAGTAATGTACATATGTATTGATAGATAGTATATCACAAGGTCAAAATAATTTAAATTCAACAAATAGTCAATAATTACAGAATATTATTATTATTATTATTGTTATTATAGTCATTATTTGCATAACTTCTGCTCTTCAGCACTGATTTTTTTTTCATTTTTAAATATTCAACTTGGTTCATTGCAGTCAGATGGGTTTGTTGCAGGTAGTTGCTGAAATGTTGTTATTCCAATTTGTTGTTTTTTATACTGAGGTTCAAGATTTTGTAGGTTTCATCAGTTGGTTTTATGATAACAAAACATCAAGTTGGTTGCATTGTAGTAATAGTATTTCAAGTCGGTGGTATTGTAACAACAATACATAAAGTCAGTTGTGCTGTAGTAGCCATATAATAGGTCATTGGTATGGTGGTGACCATATAAGAGGTCAGGGGTGCTGTAGTAACAATGCAACAAGTCTGTGGTGCTGTAGTAACAATAGAGTAGGTCTGTGGTGCTGTAGTAACAATATAGTAGGTCTGTGGTGCTGTAGTAACAATTCAACAGGTCTGTGGTGCTGTAGTAACAGTACAACAGGTCAGGGGCACTGGAGTAACAATACAACAAGTTGGTGCTATTGTAGTAACAATATAACAGGTCAGTGGTGCGGTAGTAACAATACATCAGGTCGTTTGTATTGTAGAAACAATACGTCAGGTTGTTCGTATTGTGGAAACAATACGTCAGGTCACTTGTATTGTAGTAACAATACGTCAGGTCAGTCGTATTGTGATAACAATACATTAGATCAACGGTGTTGGAGTAACAATACATCAGATTGCTGGTAGAGTAGAAAGAATTAACTTTTTTTGGTTGAATTAATAAAATGTTTTAAATTTATCTTTAAAATGATGCTTCAACTACTGTCTGTTCTCTTTTCTCAAATCAAGCTGACAGTTTAAAACAGTTTATATAGTTTTGAACAGGTTCCTTTGTGAGATATGTTTAGCAATCTTCTCATCTTGGTACTTTATCTTGGAGGCCTCACTGGTGAGTTGGTACTTTCCTTGACCTACGTAGAGAAAAAGACGTGTTGGAATGTGTCTGTGTGTGATGTGTGGAACCTACTATCAGCTGATCAACACATTCTCTTAATAAAACCAGGAGACATACAAGACCAGCAGTTCTAGTAGAGTTCCAAATAGAGCGACACTAATATATTCTAAACTGTTGGAAGCTTGATTTGATATAAATCACGGGCAGTGATCAAAGTATCACTTCAAGAATAAAAAAATTAAAATTAAAAAAAAAAAAAAAAATAAAAAATAAACAACTAATTAAACTTTTAAAAATGATAAATTATTTTTATGAAATATTTGTGTACTGTAAAAAGTATATTTCAATTTTTTTCATCAATAGAGGTTAAAATTCAAGCTTTTTCAGGAAATCTCCAGTTTTAAAAAAAAAAACAATATCAGGGAACTTATGCCAACTAACTTGAATGTAAAAGAAAAAAGAAAAATAAATATCTCAAATAAAATAGAAAATTTCTTGAAAATACAAAATTCCATAATTAATAACAATTACTTAAAACCTTTACTTGTATACTTAACAATTACCTGTAACTTATATGCATAAAAAACATGATTAGAACTTTCAAAATTTTAAATGCCTTATTGTTAGCAATAAATAAAAATGAATAAATCAACTTCACTTACAGATTCAAAATAATATCACTTAATTATACAGGTTTTAATATAAACTCTTCATACTTAAAACTTTCTTTTTATTCAATTAAATCTGAACATAATCTGATTAAAAAGATTTAAATTAAGAGAGTTGCATAGACTTGTATATATCTTATACAGCTAAAATAACAAGAATACTTCAATATTTTATGGGTCTGAAAATTTGCACAATTATAACAGTGACAAAAGCAAACCAAGAATCTCTCTGCCTTCATAAATATCTAACTATTTATATTAAATGCCAATTTATATCATACATCACAAAATAAGGAAAAACAATTTAATAAAATGCAACATTTTCATATGAATATAAGCATAAACTTTTAAAATAGTTTTTAAAAATGTTGGAATGTCTGTCATATTTCTATTGTGAACTAAACTTATAGAAATATATATATATATATATATATATATGTGTCTATTTAACAAAAAAGAGAAATCATTTAAGTTTTACAATGAATCTCAAATTGGAAATTATATCAAGATATGATTAAGAAAACTTTACAATAGTACTATAAAAAGAATTAGCACTAGATTACATGATAAAGTTCTGTGTAACAAATGTAATAATAACCAGTAAAATATATATATATATATATATATATAAATTTTGATCAAAGCATAGGACATTTTTCATTGTCATTCTATTTCATAAACAAAATTATTTCACCAAAAGTCTAAAGCATACAAACCTGAAAACCCCCTGATTTATCTCAATAATAACTTTAGTATTATAGTTTGAAACAAAATTATGGTAAAGTATTGAACCATTAGATTATTATTATTACTGAAGCTATATTTTTGTTTCCCTCTCAACTATTAGTTAGGTTTAGAATGTGCTACAAAAAGGACTTGTTACAATTTAATGCAGTAACTTCTATGTTAATATCTTTTTCTTCTTCATGAAAATATTACAACTATATAATTATTCAAAATTTTTCTTTTTATAATTTTTGCTGCCTTATGAGGTACTAAAAAGATTTTCCTATAACCATGAAGGAATTCCAAATTAAATTCTGATGTTTGGTCATTAGGTCAAATTTTGAGATAAGAACCTTTCAGCACTCGCACTCATTGTAATTACTCTCTATTATATAGAAGCAAATAAATAAGTACATTTTTTCTGAGATGTCCATACCTAATTCAGCCAAGTCAAAACATTATCTATTTAAAATTAAGAAATTTAAAAAATATATGAAAATGCTAACATAATCAGAATGAGAAAAAGTAAATTTTATAAATATCAGACTAGACATCTCAGATAAATACAAACATCAATGAGCATTGTACAAATGTTATAAGATTAAATCAATTCTTAAAACAATCTGAAAAACATCTACAATGTTAAATTTACTAACAATGTTAAAAACTAATTCAGTATTTATCATAAATTCTTTTCTAATATATTTCCTTGGCTTCAAATATTTTTATCAACCAACCTATAAATTTGTGAAATTAAAAATTTTAAATCTATGTATATTCTTCCCACACAAAAAAATTATTTAAAACTATCTATTTTAAGTTTTTTCTTTCTTCAAATAGCCAAAATAAAATTTTAAAAATAATCAAAACAGCAACATATTTTTTTAATTTTTGTATGATACTATAAAAATTTCTACATAGATACACAAATTAATTTATAATTCAAATAGATTATGAAGCTCACTTTTATTTTTTTTCCTTTTCAGCAGCAAATTTTAAAGTAAAAGTAATTTAAAAAATATAAATTGATACACAGCATTTAATAGAGAAAATTTATGCTTTTAACAGTTTAAGTTTACTCATTTGATTTTTAAATTATTTTACAGCTGTGAACAAATTCTATATGAAATATAGATATATATATTTAGAAAAAAAAAGTAGCACCAAAATAATTGCAGTAAAACTTTAGATAAAGATTCTTTTGGTAATATGGAGAAAAATTTAAAATTATGAGTAAGTAGCAAGAGAGGAGAACTGAGATGACAAAATATCAAAATAGGAAAAATATGATAGTGAGGACATCTTTTATTAAGCAATAAAATCTAAGGGCCTCTTATCATTAGGGAACCAAATAAGGCTCCCAAAATGTTTATTAAAAATTGGTGCCAATTAAGAAATGACTAAATTTAGCAAGTTTTATGCATTCATAAATATAGTGATAGTGCTTAAATATAGCACTAAGAGAGAAAGAAAAAAAGAATAATGTATAACAAATAAGAATGTTTTGTATCCTGCTCATATTAAAACTCAGTGAATTTGAAATTGGGGGAAATAGGAGGAAAAAAAAAAAAAAAAAAATTTCTGATCAAAATAAAATTCAAGATTTTTCATAAATATCCACTCAACAGATTAGCTGATATAAGAAAAAAAAAAAAAAAAAGGAGAAAATAATAGGTTTCAAAAACAGATTTAGAAAAAAAGTTTAAGCTACATAGTCCAAAGTTTTTGGGGTTTTTTTTTATTTACAAGAATAACTCTTGAATATTTAACACTCAATGATAGCTACTCATTATTTAATGAATAGACATTGGTATAATTTTGTCCCATAAGCAATATTGTAAATTTATCTTGTACTTTTTTGTAAATTGCTTCATATTGTTTAAGTATGACCGATTTTTTTTCTTCAAATTTCAATTCAAATTGGTGGAAGATTAATGAAAAATATTTTATGTTCATTCTTGCTGAGTTCATCTTCAAATCACAAGTATTACTTGCATTTCATAAAATAGCAAGAATGAATTTTATATATTATTGAAACATGTTAAAATATAAATAGAAGGGTGAAGTGGCTCATCAAGTAAAAACAATTTCTACTAATTACCTGGTATAAAAGATGGCTGACCCAGGTTCTGGTTTGGAAAGCACTGGGTAGACTACAGAAAATTGACACTGCAGTCAGTACATTTGTAAAATTCACAATCTCTAAATGGTATGAATATCAACTCTATATCACAATGCCGAGTATATACTTCTTGCAGTAATACAGAAAAGAACGCTCAAGAAAAATGAAAAATGCAATTATATATTAGGTAACTTCCAAAAAGATAAAATTGATACTCATTATAAATCTTGTATTACTATAAGAATTCACTGCTTTGGTTTGTGTATTAAATAAGAATTCACTGCTATGTTTTTATTCCATTTTTATAGTTCTTGTTCACAACATTAGCACCAAAGTACTGTTTATCAAAATAGTTGAAGGAAAAATTTATCACTATTAATTGAATGATTTACAGGCAAATAGATGAGGGGGGTCATTTAGTTAAATCTTTTAAAATATTAATACTAGTCATTAAATAAAATCCTTTTAACAAAATTTTTTTATTAGATTCCCTGACAAAGATGATATAGAGAGGAATCTTATAATCCATCAATAGAATAGATAATATTATATATAATCAATAATAGAAGAGATAATATTATATATAATCAATAATAGAAGAGATAATATTATATATAATCAATAATAGAAGAGATAATATTATATATAATCAATAATAGAAGAGATAATATTATATATAATCAATAATAGAAGAGATATAGCTTCTTTTAGTAAAAAAAAAAAAAAAATTATTTAGTATGTTTTGTTTTGTTCTTTTTTAAATTCTTTTTGTTAACAGGATTGTGATGAATAAATTTAAAAGATGCAATAAAAAGGGAAAAAAAGACATCCATCTATTAGGTTATTATAGTATAAATATTACTCAAAAGGAGCTGCCAAACATGAACACAGAGTATGAAAAGTTAAAATATGTGAAACTGATCATTAAGGATTTTTAATCAGGGTTGGAATATAGTAAATAATTAGCAACAAATACAGCTAGTCACATTTTTATGTCAGTTCAGATTTCAAAACTGTCAAATTTTGTCCTCAAAAAATAATTTAAAGATATTTTTAAAATGGTCTATAAATATTTTATACACATTAAGTTAATTTGAGGTAATTTTAAAACAAAAATATTCTCAAATAAAACCTATTAAATCACAACTCAAAAAATCAACTGAAGTCAATTTGGATTGTCAAACCTTATTTTAAAAAGTTTAACAATATTTTGATTTATTCAAAATCATTCAACACATAACAGAAACAATTCTTTAAATGATATGTAAACAAAATATTTTAAAACATTAACAAAATTTAATTCACTTATACATCACTATGAACAGGTATTATTTACAAGATTAAATGTCAGTCCTGAAATTTCTTTATTGTTGTTGATAGCAGTCATATAAACTTTATAAAACAAAAGCAACTGAATGTTGGGAAATAACCAGATAATTAATTTAAAACTATAATTTTTATTTTAAAAAAAATCTATTTAGAAATATGGGAAGAACCTAAAAATTAATTTTGATCAAGATTAAAGTTTTTTTTTATTTTAATATATAAGCAGACATGCTACATTATATATGTGTCTGCTTATACAATAGATATATACAGCAAACATCTCCAAATCTATTTAAAATCTTGGATATACGTTTTAAAATACAGATCAGCAAAATTTTGTTGATGGATTTTAAAAATAGTTATCTTTCTTGAGGAACATAACTGGCCATCACTAACAGCTGAAACAAAGTCCTAAGATAAACTAATTGATAATTAAGATTACATTTTATAGACAAAACTTAATGAACATTTAAAAAGTACTTTTGGCATAAACACACATTTAAAAATTTATTTTGCAAGAACCTCATGTACAAAGTTTGTTAAAATAGAAAAAGATTTATATAAAAATTGCATATTTTCTTTCCTTACAAACAGCATTTCAAATTTGTTAGTAGAATATACACAAGGCTAGGAACACAATGAAATAGCAAAGACATTGTTTACATATATGACCTTGCAAAAAAATAAATAAATAAAAATAAAATAAATAATAATATTAAAACTAACAAAGCAAAGCTTATTGTAATTTTTTACTCTTACCTTTATATTAAGATTCCATAAACTTATTATGAGATTACGAAGACTGAGAAAAATTTTTGGTTCTTTGGCAAAATGTGGAAATTGTTTTCTTTCAGGCTCACTCATTTCATCAGGCTTCACACTGTATGCAATGTCTGCCTGGTCAGGCTGTGTGAAAGGTTGGCGTAACATCTCCCAAACTGAAAGGGGCAAGATTTAGAATGAGGAAAACAAAAAATTAATGAAGAAAAAAAAAAATTTTATATTTGAGACTATTGTTACTAAGATTGATTATTTAATAATTATTATTATTAGTTGCAGTCATCAAAAGATGAACAGGCTAATCCATATTATTCCTTATATAACTTGAAAACAGGATGAATATCAAAATTAATCTCATTTAAAAAATGCACTGCTGATAACAAATGTTCCTGTAAAATTTAACACTTTTATTAAACTATGCTGATGTTTTTTGCAAAAATTTAAAGTGGAGCTGCTGACAAATTCAATACCAAATAATTCAATATACAGTAGAACAGTTATCTGCAATAGATTGATTTCACCATATCTAGGAAGCCTGATATACTAGGTATATCCAAACATTTTTGACTAGATACCTTGTCCATTTTATGACAAAAGGGGTCACAATAATTCCCAGACCCACTAAGAAATATAATTAACTTGGAAAGCTGATTGATTGTAAAAATAATTAAACAAAATCATAATTTGAGCTTTTTCACTCATAATCTAATGACACAGACTTTGATGGTTTTGAGATTTAATTTGATTTTTTTTCATTTTCAAAATACTATTATCAATAAAGAATTTTTTGTCTATAGCTTTTTTGTTTATATCTTACTCTTTTTGAAATATATATTGCAAAATAACTTTTGTGTTGAAAACTTTTACTAAACTAAGACAGTTTAATAAAAATTCTGAAGACAAAAGTCTTGCTGATTTGTCCCAATCAGCAAGACTTGACCTTGAAGAAGTGAAATCATGGTTGGCAGTTTGTAGATGTTTAAGACTGTAATGACAGATTTTTTTCTTTTATGTTTGATTAAAAACATATTATTGACAAAATTATTAGCAAAGAGTACACACTTTTTTCTAAAATCATTTCATCCCAAGCAAAGCAATAAGACCACAAGGGGGTTACTAATGGCAAAAGAATAAGAAAAAAAGAAGAACATTATTAAGGAGAGATCACAAAAGAACAGGAATTAAGAAGACAAAAGATAATGGCTGACATTGCATTTAAAGTTTTTAAGAAAATATGTTTTGTCGATTCTCTGGTGCTAATTGCACTTGTCCAACCCCTTCCTACTATAAATCTTCAAAATTTATCTGATTACTTTCAATTTTCATTTATTTTATTTTTACAGAAATATAAAACAATTAAGGTCATATTTGTCCATAAATAAAAATAAGTATATTTATGTTTTAGATCTAGAATTAAAGCAAAGTTCAGAAAGAAATAAGCATTTTCTCCCTACTGTTTCATAAGATCTGAAATGTTATTAGAAGATATGAGGGAGGAGCTACTGAAAGTTCTTGAACTGACCCTCTGCTCAAAAAGTGGAGGTTGGTCAAAAATTATTCACCACTTTCTCAGACATGATTTGAGTAATCAAGTTGATACAAGCATATTTTTAGAAACTTGCTCTAAAATATATTAAGATATTTTACATAAATATGTTTAAGATACAAAAAAAAAAAAAAAAAAAAAAAAAACTTTTTTTTTTTTTGCTAAATGAATTTTGATAAGACAGAAGAAATTATGAAATAACCTGTACGGGTCATGTTTGCTCAAAGTTTGAATTTATAAAATCTGCAACTAGCTAGATGCAACTGCAATTTATTCTAACAGTTTATTTTCTCGGTTGTCTTTCATAAAAATTCCAAAGTTGAAAACTTCTATGGATGTAATAGCAGAGAAATTCAACTCTTAAAAAAATGAAATTACACCTCATATTTCATGTTTCATGTCTTATTTTTAATAATCAGTTGATTTCATATCACTGTGTCCATACAACTCTAAGCGTACACAGATCAAAAAGAAAGTCTACATTGTCCATTTTGTACAGTACTATTAAGTCTGATGCACTGAAATTTGAATTGCTGACCAAGTGAATTAACATCACCAGCTGAACTTCATTTTAATTCACACTTGTTTTCATTGATAAATGCTACCAATTTTTTTTATATTTTCTTTAATGATGCATTTTAAAATTGTATAAAGTACTTAGTCATTGTATTTTGTCCAAACTGTCATGCTTGAATGGCCTAAGCTGTTTTCATGCATTTTCTTAAAATAGTCTTAAACTGAATAAATTGGATATATTTACAAAAAAACAAAAACAAAATAACATTTTTAAAAGTATCCAAAATTCAATTTATTTACATTTTTTTGAAAAAAAAAATTAATAATAATAATAATAATAATAATATAATGAAAGTGAATAAATTTTATAAAAAATAAAATAAAAAATGAACTGAATATATGCTTTAGCTTAATTTTAGCACATGGGTCCATAAAAAATGAAATATAATTAGGTATTTTTTAAAATGTAATTGGTTTCATTGTTTTTTTTTAAATGATCATTTGTTTATTAATTCTAGGGATTAGGTCATATTTTGAAAGTTAAAATGAAATTGTTACATTTTCTTAAAAACAACAAAAACACATGGATACTTTTTTCTTCAACTTTTGCAATCATGTATTGACTGTAATTTTTTCCTTGTTATTATGGAAGATAAGCATAACATCCTTTTTTAAGAAGATATCTATTCATTTTTTTTCTTTTTTTCATGTATGAGTGCTTTCCCTGCCAGAGACCTCTATCCAGGTGTTTAATAAAATTTACATTTAATCTTCTCTTGAATGGATAATGAACTCCACACTGAGAAGTAGTTTTCTTTGAAGTGAGAGAAGTAGGCCAAAGAAGACCTTTAATTCCTTGTGATATATGAAAAGGTTGCTGATACAGTTAAAAGGGAATAGACTAGTAGAGAAGTAAATTTTAATGGAACTTTATCTCCATCTCTAAATAAATAAAGGAAGGAAGAAAAGCCACTTAGAGAACCAGAGTATTCAAACAACTAGCATTTATGATGAAAAACTACTTCAGATGACCTTCAGTTACAAGTTCCAAGGCCAATGGGTTGCAGTATACTATTACAACTTTTACATTGACCAAATCATTGCTTTTACATATCCATTCAGTGCTGTAATCAAAATTTTAGTTCCAAAGACAGAAATTATTATTTTTGAAGGCATTTGTTGGATGATATTGCCCAAATGGAGTCAACATTTGTCTTGAGCTGGGACTTAATACCAGTTTCAAGAGATGATAGAATATGGAATGTTCTAGGAATATTGGTTGTAGCAGATGCTTAGAAACAAATTCAGGCTGCAAATTACCATTAGAAGAGAAAATGCAGGAGAACCATTCCAACTGTCCAGAAAGTTTTTTTTCTCTAAGTTCCAATAAAAGTATTTTCATTCACTTCATTTTTTTTTAGTTTGAAAATGAATGAGTTTGAAGCTTTAAAATAAGCATTTGTGTGAAGGATTGACTAATGATTCATTTCATGAAACAAATTTCTAAGTGTTGTAGTATTTTCTATATTTTTTGGGCGAGTCAAAAATTGCATAATTTCACAAAATTTCCAAAATTACATACATCTATGACAATACTACAGAGAAAAGAACTGTTTTGTTGAATTCATCATCCCAAAAACTAGTAAAGTTTCAGACATGTACTTCCAATGGGTACATTTTTATGGCAAGTTAAAAATGGGATACTTTAGACCTGTTTTTGCACTATTGTTAAATTGAACCTCTGGTCGTTTTTACATGGTGTAATTACGAGGTTTTGATTGATGTACTACTGAAAAAAAAGCTTTATCTCTGTTGTGCTATGAATCATAGCAAGAAGCTGAAAGGCATTAACTGTGGAAATGAAATTGCTATTCTGTGACATTTTTTGACTATTTTTTTTTTGAGAACAAAATTTTTCTCCAATGTTTAGGCTGGTCTGATCTAATAATTATTGATTTTATTAGTTACTAATGGAATCAATAGAATACTAATGATTAGTATTCTATTTCTTTTACTTCAAGATTAGTAATATGACATTACATTTATAATGATTTTTTAACTAATCTTAAGCCTGCAACTGCAGTTATACATGGTTAAAATTGGCTTCTGGCCCAATAATTCATGAGATTTGTTAGAAATGTGGTTTTATCAAAATAGAGAATATATACTCAGTACATACTTCAATTTGGATATTGTGATTTTAAATAAACACTCCAATGTACATTGTCTTAATATAGCTGTCGTGTATACCTAAGAATTTTACATAGCTTTTAAAATTGTTTTGATTTTTAGTAACCCATCAGCACACCTATTATTTATAAATCTTAGTAAATTCATAAACTTTTCTATTTTTGTTGAATATATGTATTTTGCATTCATCTCCGATACATTCCTGATATATATCTTGCATTTGCAAAGAATGTATCTTGCTTAATAGTTCTATAAAGAGTTTGTTTTTAATGTCTATCACTGTACATTTTAAAACCCACCCCACTGAAATTTTTTTCCCTTTGATTTAAATTTGAACAAGTGAATGACTCATATCCAAAATATAGGAGAAAGCCAGAAGATGGAGGTCACATCGGCAAGATCAAAATGAGATAATATGGATGTCCAAGAAATCGCCAATCAGTTGGTAGTGCCTTACAAGACATGTGTTGCGAGAATTCAATTGTCATATCAATGTTGAAATCTGCTCATCAATTCATTCAATCAAGTAGTGCATCAAATACATATAAAAGTGGTCAGATCAAATAAATTTTTGTACAAACCTCTCCACAAATTATAACAATGCTTTAAAATCAATCATCTTTTTGTTACAAAAACAAAAAAACTGTGTGACACAAAGCAAGGCATGGGTAATTCAGCTAGTACTTAATAAATATGTGATTTTCAGGCACAAAATGATACAAACAGTATTTCCTTTTACATTGATAAAGTTTTTTGACAATGATAGAAACTAAGTCAACAAATGATTATTACATCATGCATATAACTAGTCACTTAAAAATTTGCAAGCCAAGAGAAATATATTTTCAACATCTCTTGAAGAGAAAGGAAACATATTGACACAAGCTATTCAAATTTGAAGGTAGTTTATATTTATGACCACTCAAAATCTAATTGAGATTTTATTAAATAGTTCTATTACACATTATCAAGGCAGAATAAATGTAAAATAAAAATGAGTAAGAATGAACAGGAGTGTTGAGAAAAGAGAATTACTTTGAGAGATGCTTGAGATCATCTAATTATGTAAAATATTTTTGTTTTTAAATCAAATTTGACTGTTTAAGACTAAATCTGACTTTAAAATTTAACTTTACAAATTTATTAATAAATCTCAAATTCACTATTCTTATGAAAGTTAAACCACATTTCTCATCAGTTAGTTTGCATCTTTTATGAATCAGATTTATATTGTATGTGATAAGCACAATATATATATTAAAGTTAAGTATAAGTTATGTATATACATCAGAACTAGAAAATAACATCAAGTCAGACCTTATTTTATTTGTCATCAATTATTCAAAGCCAATGATTGATGACAAAGTTTCAGATTTTATCTTTTAAATTAATACTCCAAAATCTGTCTATATTGGCAGCAAATGTATGAGTTTAGGAAACAACAAAACCCGACAGCAATTCTATCTTATATCAGAGGCAGAGTAGAGAAAATCCATAGAATCTGCAGTTCATAAAACATCAAAATAATATTCAAAAACTGTTCCATTCTATGCTGATATCTCTTTAAAGTAAAATTTCCAGTGGAAGAAAACATGACTAAGATCTGTGTGTACAACATTCCATGCCGTTGTGGCAGAGAACTGAAAAACAGGATCAGCTAACCATTACCAATAAGCTCTTAAAGAACATCAACAAATGGTAATCTGTGGTGAAATTTTTAAAATCAAAATTGATGGTGTGAGCAGGCAAGGGGGAGACACACTACTTTCATGTAATGAAATCAAAGTAATAGCATTTGAGGAAAAGATGTTTGTATGAATCAGCACCTATAATCTGTTCAAATCATCCAATCAGCAGACCAATAATAGATTTAAATAGCATATTGCAGCCACTGACACATACAGGTATCCACTAAAAATAACATTTGAATAAAACTTTCAATGTATATAAATATATTCTAAAAATAGAAACACACACACACATACAGTGTGTGTGTGTTATTTGAACAAAATAATGATACAAGTTTATTCTTATAACTTTCCATGAATGAATACCAACCTTTGCTATAGCTTGAATTTTTATCACTCCGAGGATGAAGGTATGTAGTATCTGTAGGGCAGTGTCCAATAGCATCGGGAGAATAGTCTGAGAGGAAATAGATGGAAGGAGACATTTTGAGACCTACACTGGCAGTCAGTTGACCCAGCCACCATGATGTCTGACACATCTCCACAATAAATAAAATTAAAATATAAATATATAAATAAAATATATAAATATATATATATATATATATATATATATATATATATATATATATATATACACACAAATATATATATATATATATATATATATATATATATATATATATAATATATAAACAGTATTTAAGAACAAAAAAATTTATAAATCTAGTGACTGGTAATTATATTATTTTGATAAACTAAGTTTACTATTGAAGTTGAATGAAACAAGTTTTTTTAAATTTACATTTTTAAAATGGTAGAGCTATGTAAGATTTTTGTTACTGAAAATATATTTTCTTAATAACTGTATTTACTAGTGATATATATCACAGACACTCACTCTCTCTCTCTCACACACACACACACACACACACACACACACACACACAGAGAGGAGTGCTGAAAACTTCTCAGACTGACCCACTTCCCAAAATCTGACAAAAATATCAAACATCAGTTTTTTGTGAAAGGACTTCTTGGCTAGTCTAAGAACCTTTCAACATCTGCTGTGTTTCAGTTCAATACAAAAATATGTTAAGAAAATTACTATTGCTATCATTACTATGCTTGTGAATAAACATTTCTAACAAGAATTAGAAGTTTTTACTACTATTATTCTAATATTATTTTAAATTCTTTCACCTATTCTACAAACAATTTATGAATTTGAATTGTTTAGTATTTGAGAAGCCTACAGGCTGAATCACTTTTGAATGACTCAATTTTTACAAATGCAAAATATTACTAAAAAATCTGATAAATGTTGGATTTTAATATGTTCATTTTGAATCATTAACATTAATTCAAAAAGTATGTTCTGCTGAAAATTGGCAAAATTTAAACATAAATCACTTAGTTAATTTTATTGCACAATATTAAAATCAGATTATACAAAAATTTCTTTATTTTATATCTGCTTTGTGATGGGGAAAATTTTCAATGTTGAAATAGAGTTATAAATAAGACACTATCATGATGCACTTATTAACAAGAAAAATGAAAAGAGAAAAATTTCCTGATATACATCTTTCTCTGAATGATTTTAAACTGGTAGAAAAATTAAATACAGTAGCTGCATTGTTAATATTCTATGATTACACAAAATTAACAGCAAGGGTTGCTGAAAAGTTCACAGTCCAGACAAGGAATTAGAAAGAAAAAAATATTCTGATTTTTAGCCATTTGGTCATATCTTGAGAAAGCATTCAGTTGAGAAATATTCAGCAACCCCTCAAAAACAGTAGCAACAAACCAACAGAGAAATAATGTATTTTTTACTGCAATCAAACTGATAATCCAACAAAATTACTCTACTTGATTTTAGTTACTGCCAGCTATTAAAAACTAGAACTCAAAGAAAATACAATATTGTTTTAAATGTCCACAACTCATCCTGCTAGTGGCTACTATCTTAAATTTCTATTTTACATTCTTATCTAATGTTACTACCAATAATGCAAAATTTTTGAAAATTTGCAAAATTTGTAGAAAACTTGTTTAAAAATTATCACAATTATTGACTTTTTTAATTATACATATTAATGTGTTAAATATGTTATCGCCTCCAAATTGTTGAAAATCAAAAAATCAATTATAAAAACAAAAATCAAAGACTAATTTGCATATTACACTTTTAAAATTGTTTCTTCAATCATTCTTAAGAAAAACCAATATTTCATAAGCATCAGTATGTATTTAAAATCAATGTTTTCTCAGATGAATTTAGGTTTTAGCAGACAACCATTCTAACTAAAGAGATTTTAATTTCTATAAACTACACAATTAAAAACAAGTAATTGATAAAAAGATACTTATTTAAAAGTTTTCAATAATACTATTTAGAATTTTTTTCAAAAGTTAAATTGAAGTATAACTAGAAAATCCTATGAAGATGAATGCTAACAATGATATAATAAAACACAGAATTTGATGTGTTCTTAGATATATGTAAGAAATAATGTAGATAGTTCATTAATAGATTTTCTTAAAGCAAAAATAAATACATATTCTGTAGTGACAAACAATTATTTTTTTCATGAAACTTACCCAATAATAACTTACTTTCAAGAAAAAGAGAAATCTTTTGACTTACATGATCCTCTGGAACTGCACATGCTTCCAACTGTTTTTCTTTCTAAAACAAATAAAAACATATATATTGGGAGTTTCAAAACTTCATACATAAATAACTTTCATCAAATTTATTCTTTTGCACAGTATCTTAATTTTTATGTGCACATAGATTTTGAAAGATCTTCAAATAAAAAATACTAAAAAATTAAAATACATAGTAACAGACAAATTTATTAGCAAATAGTGAGCTATATTCACCGTTTTTCCTTCTGAAGTCATTCCACATTTAAATTTGCGAATGAAATCTGGAGTGAAGTCAACATCCCGAGATAGCTGCCTCCATTTTTGGCACTCTGAACGTGTGCACTGCACCCAAAATGGCAGCAGATTGTCAGCCAGAAACACACAAATCGAGGCCTCCGCCTTGCCCTTTGAAGACCACTCCCGCTTCCATTTGCAAAATGTTTCATAACCTGATTTGTGACTGAAAAAGAGAAATTTTTCATTTTAACTTTCACTTTCTAAGTTATTTATCCTTAATACAAATAATATGGTCTAGGTTAATTCAGTACAGGTGGCTGGAAAAAAAATCATCCATATTAGTACTTTCATCTTTTAAATTAAACATTAGCAAATATAAATTGAAATACTGCTAATAGCAAAAAGGTAAAATACAGGAAGAATACTTTTTACATACAATGAAAAATATAAAGAATGAGTAAGTAATAAATTTTACAGTCAAAACATTATTATTTGAAAAACTTTTCTTAGAGCCCAATTAAGAGGAAGCAGAAATATTTCATATTTTATATGGTGTGTAATGTATTATCAAAAATGTCAGGATTTGACTGTCTTGCAAGCCCAATACAAGAAGTGATAAGGAGATGAATTTAAAAACATTTATTCCATGTAGTACATTAGACACAAAAAGGTTAATTTAAGAAAATCAAAATTGTGGTAAAATTTTCATGAAGAGCATATCAAATTAGTTGTACCAAAGTTCTAATCGCATATCAAAATAGTATTAGGTAATGGGAAAAATGATTTCAGGCAAAAATAATAATTTTAAAAAATTTTCAATATTATTTAACAACCTATTTAGCATCTAGTTCTATTATTTCCTGTCATCTTTCAAACAATTTCATGAATTGCATCCTCCTAGAACATTTTTATCTTTCTAAGAACTGCTGTAACTGCAATTTTCAGTCTTCCAGGAAATTGAAATATTTTCATTAAAGAAATTTTATAAAAACCCTAATAAATAATAATCTGAAAGTGCAATATCTGGTGAACATAGCAAATGAGCAAAAATGCCCCAACCAAACTGTAACAATTCTTGCCTGCCAAATAAACATAATTCTGATGAAATATTACACACTTTAGCTTGGTCCTCCAGAAGTAATCCATAGTAGATGATTCTCTTCCAATCTCACCATATCACCTTCTTTGGATGAAGACTAGTCATTTGTACACTTAATTGTGGTTCATTTTCCTTGCTCCATAATCTTTTACACTTGATATTGATTACACACAATAAAAGCAGAGAATAAACCAACTCAGGTTTGACTGCACAAATATTTCATTCAGTTCTAGTGGCCAAAAAGGAAAACAATTTTAGTAAAATGATATAACTCTACTATATTGCAGAATTCCCCCACTTCATGCCAACTCATAAATGCTCTTAATGCTATCTAGCAACAAAACTTTTTAACCAACCCAATAATTGGTTGAGCAGAAATTTAAAACAAGCATCAATATAATACTTAGTGAATATATTGTATGTTTCTTTTACATTTAATACATCAATTCAGCAGGGGTACTATGCAGTTCATTAGATTTCATCTAATCTATGAATAAACATCAAGCCAAGAAAGTGTTGGCAGATATTGCCTACTGGGCTGCTGGGGTTGCTGATTTTAAGCTCAACATATGATAATGGAAGTTCATTGCTGAAATCACCATAACCAATTTAGTCTTTTTGAAAAGAAATATTTACCATCTACCCATGGATTAATTTACATTTATTATTTAAGACACCGAAGGAAATATAGGGTTTTGTCTATTTCTTTTCTTTGAAATTGCAGTATTTTATCTTCATTATAAAGAAAACAATTTTTTTCTGTATGAAATTAAAAAAAGTGTCATTAACAAAAGTTTTACCAATTTAATATTTACTTCTGTGATATTGTTCTTCATAATACTGAACATACTGATTATAAAAGTTCATTTTGTAATGAAGAATTTGTATTTTTCTAAGGTGTTTAAAAAAAAAAAAAAAAAAAATAGTGAGTTTTAATTTTACCATACTTCGTAACTATTTATACTACAAAATTAATGAAAAATGTTAACTTTATCAAAGTTAATGTCATAATTAAATTCAGCAAATTTGATTTGACATTTTACACTGCTCTTTAAAATAAACAACAAAAATGTAAAATAAAACAATATCACATTGTTTTCTCCTACTTTTCTAGTTTTAAACCATGAAACTCACTAAAAAATATCATTAAGAATTTTGTAAAAGGTTTTTTTTCTATAACAATGAACATAATGATAAAATTAATTTTTATGAATAATTTTTGCTTTAACTTTTTAAAAAAGTATGCTGTATTTTAATTTTAGTATCAAGAGAAAATATATATAATAGACAATATACATTTGTGTGTGGGTGTGTGTTTGTATTGCAAAATTAAAGAAAATGTTATTAAGAATTTTGTCACATGAAGTTAATGTCAATTAAATTTAGTAGAGTTAACATAATACTGTACCATGTTCTTAAATATATACCATAAAAGACTCCTATTTCATTAAGATACAAAGCAATTAACATGTAATTTAGATAACTTAAAAGGCTACACTAACGTGTGTTGGCATAGATTTTAAATTCCTACTTACTTCTCATCCTCATTTTTAAAACACTAAAATTTCCAAATCTGAATCATAAATTCCTACATCCTGGAGTTTACCAATACACACATTAATCTCTAAAAGATGACAAATTCCCACATTCATACAAACCTTGATGGAGTTGTACAATAGGCATTGCAACCAGAAATAAACATTTTTTCTCCATATTACTATAGATTAAGTAATCAGAACACAAATATATAAAAGAAATATGTATTTATTTTTCTTAATTTTATAAAAGTTAATAAGGAGTCCAATTTGTTATGTAAATTCATTGTCATCCCCCTAGACAAGCTAAAACAAAATATGTTAATACCATGTGATTTCTTTTTTAAAATATTGTAATCTGGAGTGCTTAACTCAGAGTAATATATGAAAAAGGTACTCCACATTAGTCTAATTTTTTTACTTTCTTAATTTGAAGAAATCCCATGGCATGATCATATTTTGTTTTCATTTGCCTAGGGGTATCAATTTACAATGAATTTACATAGTAAAAAAAAATACTAAAAATAAAACTTCTGGTTCCATGTGAAATGTGCAAAATGAGGAATTGGCACAATTTCTAGAAAAAGACAGCATTATCAGTTTGAAAATTTGTGTCACATTATTGATCAACAGGATTTTATCTTGTTACATTCTATAAATTGAACAATCAGCTTTTTACCCAGTCTGTTGACTTTTTCTCTGTATTTCAATTTTTTTTTTTTATAAAAATTTTTTGAAAGTTACCATACTGGTGTGTATGTTTTGTACTTTTTTTTTTTTAATGGATACACTTATTTGAGTAAATGCTCTGTTTTTTAATTAAAACAGCATATTAATTACATTTACTAGCCTGAATGTTCAAGAAATTTTGTAGAAAATATGCATCCTCTGACAGAAATCGAACCTGTATCTGTATGCTATGACCATAATTTAAGCTTTGCTAAACCAAAACTTTGCTGTAGCTGAATGATCATAGCACATGAAGATTAATGATGGTTCTGTATAGGACATTTAATGAATAAATTGATATCTAATGTTGGTTTTTTACTATACATTAATTGGCGGGGAGGCATTATTATGGATGATGCTTAAGTTGTATTAAATTTAGTATAGTATATAATTATTTTTACTTTTTTACTGGGATCTGTAGATATACTAGTATTTAGGAGTTTTTTTTTTAGGATTTTTCATCTCGTTTATATTTAGAATGCATAAATTTACAATATAAAAGACTGATATATTTAGGGTTATTTGAGGAAGTATTATATTCTATTTGATTTATATTAAACTTTGTAATAGATTGCCTTATTTGTTCATTAAATGAACATTGTGAGACTTCATTTCTGATATTTTAGTTATTCTACAATAACGTTATCAAGATGGCTCACTCTACACATGATTCATTGTCCATTGCACAACCTCTGGAAAAACATTCCTGCCCACATTCACAGTTTAGAATATTAGTTGGCAATACCTGTATACTTCACGAAGAACACAATAAACTAAATAATAAATTCTTGAAGTTATCTTTATTAAAATATAAAAAACAACACTTAAAGCTAATTAGGAATATAGTACAAATATTCTGAAATGCTTATAGTGTATCAGTCAGTTACGTACCATACGTGATACACTCTTAGGCAATCATGTATCTTTCGATACATAACTGACAAGGCAGATTTTTCCCCGCAGTAGGTTGCCATTTCTTTCTGCAGTAGACCAGTTGCCATACAAGGCTATAGAACCCAGTCTGTGCTGCTACTTACTCATAGCTAAGAGGATTCATACCTTTCCCAAGGGTATTAACACATAAGTGAATGTAATGGATTTAACTGAAATTCAAACTAGGTCCTCTGATTCCTCAATTCAAGCTGCTATCCATTACTCCACTGTGCCTCCTTATAGTATATAGTTCTTTAGAAATATCTATGTTAAAACTAAACAGTTTTTTTTTCTAAAAAAAAAAAAAAAAAAAAAAAACAACAACGAAAAAACCTAACAAAAATTCAATTTTTAACTAAATTACCTTCCAGTTATGGTAATTTACCCATGCACACATGGACTCTCCCAGCTAAAAATAGGAGCAGGTACTGCCTTTTGGAGAAAGAAGTTTCCAACAGTTAGCTCTGAGAGTCAGACCAAAAATTCTTGCTGTAACACTCTCATTTGTATATGTTTGTATTACTGTTTCTGTTAATATATTTGTTTAACTCAATTCCTCTCTTCTGTCTTTATTTCTGGCTGTAACAAAGCCACAACACTCCCTTACATTAAAATTTTTACAACATGGAAAAATTTTAAAATCACTGTTTGTAACTTTGTGCATGACTGAAACTGTAACGATTTAACCACAAAAGCAAAAAATTTACTTCGGAGAAACACAATTATTTGTTTTAGCCATCATAACCCTGAAGATGATATTGGAATATATCGAAAGTACTCAGAAAAATAAAAATGAATAAATTTAACCATGGTACCTTCTTTGCTCTCTTTAATCATGAAACAATATATCCTTTTGTAATCATTTATAAGCTATTATTGAAAATAAACACATGTCCAAATGAAAATTTATATATATATATATATATATATATATATAGACACACACTTCACACTGGATGCCAGAGTAAACAGTTTCTCATCAAAAGTACCATTTAAATTATTACTTTAAACAATAACAAATCAGTAATAAGAAAAGAATAAAAGTATCAAATACATAACATTTTTTATGTTAAAAATATTTGAAAGATAAATAATAGATGTTGCCTATTCTGAAACAATATAAAAGTAGTAAAAACAAAATAATATTATGACTTGAAACACTTTTCAAACAAATTTGAAAATACGTCCTCCTCCATAAAAAATGTTACATTACAATCAATAAATAAGAAAAGGATAAATTAATAAAATTATAGGCAAATGTTATTAAAAATGTCTGAATGATAAATGATAGAAAAAGAAATTGATGATACTGATAGTCAGAGGCAAACAAAACAAACATTATTACTCAAAATAATTTTTCTACAACTTTGAAAATTACGTCCTCTTTCATTTAAAAAAAAAAAAAAAAAAAGTAAAAAAAAGAGAAATATTACACTTAAATAGAGTAAAATTATTTATGCCAAGGTATAAATAAATTAACAAATATAATGTATTAAATGTTCTTAATAATTATTAGTGAGACATTCTTAATAAATTAAACTTGCTAAAAATAACCTATTTTAAAAATAAAACAATTGATGTATATATGACTTACCTTAAAAAATAAACATCTATTTTAATAATTAAGGGATTATAAATACATAATAATACAATAAAAATTATAATACAATAAAGAAAAATATAAGAATAATTAAAATAATCAAAAATTTCCTTTTAAAATACGATATCGCTTTCTTTGAGCAATGAAAAAACATGTCTGTTCACTCAGGCATCATCATCTCTTAATGATGTATTATTTGCAAAAAATTCCAATTAATTCACAAAATGCAATCATGCTAAACATTTAAACCTTTTAACTTTAATTTTTTTTCTTCAACTATGTTTCTACAAACTACTCAAAAATTTATAAATATGGAGACTATCTTAGTAACTGATGCAGCAACACATCCCTGAAGATATACACTGATTACACTCAACATTATATACTGGAAATAACAATAACAACATTTTACAAGAATTACTAATTTACCAGAATAAGTTGAAGTTTATAGAAAGAGCACACTGCAAATATGGATTCCTGCTTAGAGAATAGCAAATACAAAACTATAAAAATAAGAACATCAAAACATACATGTTTGTAAACAAAAAATACTATTTAACTCTCAAAACAAAAAGAAACTAAAAAAATGTTACCTTCTATAAAAGTACTCAAAGCATTCATTACAAAAATGTTCTCCGGCAGAGATGTGATGCCACCGGGATGTATAGCCACTTCCAACACACCTACAATTGTACATTGGCAAATATGGTATCAAAACATACTTAGGAAAAGTAAAGATTCAATTAAAACATTTATTTTAAAATATTATTTAAGGGGATATAATTACTTTTATATATTTTTTACATCTATTATTTAAATAAAAATTCTACAATGATAGTCTATATATTTAATCCATATTTCATCCTTTAACTGCAAATTATTTTAATCCTCATCTTTTTTTTTTTTTTTGCTTCACAATATTTCAATTCATACTCTGGGCTTATTGTGGAAAATTTTAGTAATAAATTTGTTTTTGGTCCATTAGTTGGGTTACATCATGTATTAGACAGTCTGTAATTTTTCTGGATTATATCCTATTATATTTTTGGAGTGGGATGGGAGTGTCCCATAAATTTTTTTTTTTTATTATTGGTCTCCTTAAGGCATAAATTTTCACATTTAGCTTATCAATGGTTTTTGTGGTATTTTTCAATAATATCACATTCCTTTCATTTCTCACTTTTCCAATAGTGATCTTTATCAAATATAGCTACCTTATTCCAGAGATGACAGTAATCTTTCCAGGTATGATTTACTATACCTGATCTTGTAATCTTTCCTTGGATCATGTTATTCTAGTAATTTCAAGTCTTACTTTTAGAGTATAGCTAATTTCAAGTTTCTATTTTCTATCTCTGCATGGTACACCTTATAGACAGTTTTTGGTCATATTTTTTTTTCTGATAGTAACCTTTGTCAATTGACTAAAGAGTATTGTTGCTTCTGAAAACCATTCTGATATTGCAAAACCCACTGCTAGATTATTTTCTGGTTACATTTGTTTGTCATAGATCCCAATGCTATAGAGGACAAATGTGAGTTGTCACAAAGTTTTGCTTGGTGTTACAGGCATCAGATAATCTTTCAATATATTATGAATGAGGATTGAAGTTTAACTACTGCTCAGTGAGTATGGGTTATAAAATATTGTGTACCTATATTATAAGCAAGTAAACAAGAAAAGTTTGGTGAACTGTAAGGAATGAACTGGCCAAAACATTGTGAAGTAAAAAACAGTAAAAAAAAAAAAAAAAAAAAAAAATTATAAATTTTATCCCAAAATCTCAGACAAAAGATTCTACATATTTTGTTCTGCAAAAATATATGAATCCAAAGAGGTATAAACAATTTTAACACCATTATCTTTTACCAAGAAAACATATATTGTATATTTATACAATTTTGATATTAAGAAATGTTGTATCTATTTCATGGTTTCCACAGTATCAAAGTAAAATGTTTTTTATTAGTGTACAAGTAGCAATTTTAATAACTACTTAAATATCTTGAACCCCTGAGAATTACTTCAAATATAAGACAGATTAGATTGAAAAAAAAAAAACTTTTCAGATTAAATGGATAAATATTTGACTTAGAGTATGTCATTTATGAATTTAGGTGAAAAATTCTTACTTCTCTGTAGAATTAGCAAAACAGATTGGTATAGATGCTGGACATCCAGATCTTTCACATGGCCGTACAGGCTTTTTGGTAGATTGGGTTATGTCAGTAGCTTCATCAAAAAAGGATTTCCTCTTGATGCCTCGAGAAGAACACCTACTTAGCATAAAAGGGGAGAATATAAGATGATACTAATGAAGTTAAATGGTAACTTTTAAAAATAATGGAATATCAAGTGGACATATCAAAAACAAATTTCATTTGAAATAAATTTTCATTTATGTTCTGTATATTGTTTCCCATTGGAGAATTTGCATAAACAGCTGCCATGATAGCTTACAAAAATACTCTCAGTCCAGCACACCTTCAGCAGATCTCTCTTTTCAATCATACTACCTTTCCAAGTTGTGCATACATATGTTTAGTAAAATAGTCAATATACAAACCTGACAGCACTATGAGGCAGATATAAAACAGTTATGCATTAGTTTCATTTTCTTTCCATCAGTTATTTGTTACTTCAAAATAGTATTATTCTTCTAATGACCTCACACTTGACTGCTCTTTCCACTTTAAGATTGGTCAACAGCCAGAATAGCCCAGAAGTTTGTGTTCATGCCAAGTGATTTTGATTTGGTTTTGAGAAACTCTTTGGAACATTTTCTTTTTACAATATTATGCAGTCTTATGACACAGGACACATTGATAAATTTTACTCTACCTTTATATTTGACAATGACCAAAATACATCAATCAAAATGTAATGACCACAAAATAGAAATTATTTAAATATACTATGGTGGTATCACCCCTTCATACCACCAATGCTATTTTGTCATAATGCCAAAACTTTCTAAAGAAAAAATATCTGACAAAACCAAGATATATATACATGTAATTTGTTTTATAAATTGTATTATTATTAAATAATTTTCTTATATTTAGTCACATTCCTTGATGAAAAAAAATAGTATAAAATGAAATAAAAATAAAATCACTATTTCAATCTTTACTCTTTCAAAATGTCTTAGTGAAATATTTTTAACTAAATATTTTGTCTAAGCTAAACCCTGTGAAAATAGTCAACATCTACTGTTATCAGCACTTATTTCTAATTTGCCCAATAAGTTTCATTATACAACAATTTTAAAAGAAATATTTCAGAAATCATCACAAAATATTAAGGACAAGAATTGTAAATAAAAATAATTGTTTTCACAACATACCTAGAAGACGTGGAGGAATCTTTGGATGAAGTTTTGTCTGATGATCGGATTGCTCTAACACTGGTCATCTTCATTCTGTGATTTAAAAACAAAAAATTTCAGTATTTCTTGTTAAGGAAATTTATTTATTCAACATTGTGTATTATGTAATACAAACAACATATGGTAGAAAATGTAAGTGGTAATAAATGAAATCCATTGAAAACATTTATAGTTATTGAAAGAAAGTACATTCATATTTGCTACAAAAAATGTGGTAAAAAATATTTAGAGATAATTATACAATATATTGGTTAAAACACTGAAATTAAAATACAAAGAATGCCTAAGAATGTGAACAAAAAGTGATTGAAAATGATATGTTAAATTATATTGATTCACATATGATGGTATCAAAATAATTAATATGACCAAAAGGAAATGGATAATATTGGAAGATGAAGATGGGATTAATGTATCATTTAAACTATTATTTTATCAATAGTATCTGTAATACCAATAATCAATGTCTAAAACCTAATACATAGTTATTAATTGAATTTTAATTTGAAATGTTTACTATATAAAGTTCAGTATTTTATGTTGTATTAAATGCATTGATAAGAAGGAGATTATGTTAAAAATATTTGTTGTGTAAAATAAGTACTGTGAACTTATTTATGTATACAAATACAGCAGGATTAAACAAAAGGCTAAAGAGATGTTACAAATTGTGCCTACTAATAAAATTCTGTCCAAATGTGCATCATGATTTACAAGGTTTTCAATATCCAAATTCAAATTCTCAACATCAGATAACTAATAAATGGAACAAACATTAGAGCCAATAATAAACAAAAATTGCCATAAACTTCTAAGTAACATAAATCAATGAATGTACCTATTGTCACTATTTCATAAATTACTTTTAAGATTTAAAAATTTTAATAAGTTCATTCATTCTCAAGATTTTAGTTCTTTAAAATACAGAATTTTTGTAAGCATATACTGCTGGAGTTATATGCCATTCTTCTTTCCTTATTATACACAACAGGGGGATTAAATGTTCATAGCTCAACTAAGGATTTTAAAAAATCTGATGTTTGGTCATTCAGTCAATTTTGGAATGTGTGTTAAACTGAGGACTTTTCACTCAATAAAAGTGTAATAAACTTGAAATCAATCTTGATTAAAATATATAAATATGAGGGAATGTTGAAAATTTCTCAGCCTGACAAAGTATAATGAAAAAAAAAAAAAAAATCTGATGTTCAGTCATTTGGTCAGTTTTTGGGTAGTTAAATAGAACTTCTGTAACAATCTATACAAAAAAAGTGTTTCATGCCATCTATTTTAAAGAAAATAGTTTTATTTCTTATAATTCACGACTCTTGGTAAAATAAGGAAAAAAATTACAATTTAGATAATTTATAAATATTTTAAGAATATCGCACAGGAATTAACAGAGTAGAATATACTAATATTTTCTACAATATTTTTTGATAATTTGTTTTCAAATAAATTTTAGCTGTACATTAGATCATAAAGATAAAACCAAGATTTATTAATTCACTTTTCAAGGAGAAATTAGCAACTTCAAACCATCATCAGGTATATGTACATGTCTGATGAGGTTAGTGAAAAATTGGTGAAAAATCTATATAAATTTTTATTCTCAACACAATCATTAACTTTTTTTTTTAAAATATTCAGATGGATTCATTAAAAACATTTTTCCACCACCTGTTTAAAAAAGAATAATTTTTTTGATACAAATTCACAGTTAACATAAATCACTTCATTTTACCATCAATTCACATGCTTGATATTAGAGTATTAGTCTATGACTGCAGTTTTACATGCCACTTCTCTTCTCTTGCTCTGTAAACTTAACTTGAAAGAAAAAATTATGTCTGGCTGTAAATAAAATGTACTCTCTTTAAAATTTTTTTATCTGATTATATCATTAACAATAAGCAAAAAAAAAAAAAAAAAGTTCATGTTATCTGATTTTTTTAAGGAACATTTTTTCCTTTGCAGTATTCTGACTGGATGAAAAGTTAGGTAGAAAAAAATCACGTAAATTTTCAAGACTATCAAAAAAAAAAAAAGTTTAAAAATGAGAATTAAACAGTCAATCTTTAATATAATGTAGTTCACGAATTGTTTCCTTGAACCTTCTTTGAGGTCAGTATATTAAATTTTTTGTTATACATTTTTGTCCATTTTTAGCTTCAATACAATTTTTAAAAGGTTATATAATAATAAATGTAAAAGCATTTTAAAAAACAAGTTGAACTTTAAAATGGAAAAGTATTTAAAGTTTTCATTCAATATATTGAATTTTTTTCAAAAACAAATGCTTCTAAGTTTATACAGGAAAGTATATTCTGTATTTCAAAATAAATTAACTAGCCATTTTTATTAATTATTCAGAAAACTGTAAAGAAAAAAAAGCAATGAATTTGAAAATCGTTCTACCTAAATTTTTAATTAGCACAAAATTAAAACTAATTATGTAGGTATAAGAATATAAACAAAAAAAATTATCCACTTCAATAACAGATGACACTGAATCAAAAAAAAAAAAAAAAAAAAAAAAAAAATTAATTTCCTTAAATTTTGAGGAATCTTAAAAAAATTAAGTAAAGGCAATATGTTGCTTCAATTATAAAAGAGATATTATACAGATTTATTTTTTTATTTTGATTACCTTTTTAACCTTTGACTTAATTTTTTTCTTGTTAATTTACAAATTCCCTATATTTTTTTTTATTTGGGTTGAATAACATAACATAACATAACAACATTTTTTCATCTGATAAGATTTTTTTAATTTTTTTTGTATCTTTAAAAAAATAAAAAAAGAAGTCAGGTTTGTTATATTATCACAAACCTGATTTTTATAAAATTTTAATTTAAATATTAAAATGCATTTCTACCTATTATTTTAAATGATCACATTTAAAGCAATAGTGTATTAAGCTATTTTCAATAGATATAATAAAATTTTTTTGTTCCAAGTGATTTTCTATTCAGAAAAGAAAAATGATCCTTGTAAATATGGTCATTAAATATAAAACCAAATATTGCCTTAATGCTTTGTGCCTTTACTTTTGAAAATTGGCAAAATAAGCATTTGAGTTACAGCAAATGTGAAATTTATAACCGTTTCCTCACTAATGACTCAAAATGATTTTGGAAAAAATCATTAGCAGATTTTCCTTTTGCGTAGTCAGAAAACGACAACATTTTGTAATTTTTTTAAAAACATTTTCTTCCAAATAATGCAGCAAGAGGATATTTTTGTTAAATATTGTGCAACCCATTCTCTTCAAAAATAAAAACTTTTCAGAGAACATATGAAGCACAGAAACATGTTAAAAACATCTCAGGTACTTTTTGTTTTCTTATGTATATAAATGAGAATGATTTCCTTTTAAAAAAATCTGCAGATATTTCACCAATTTTGTAACTTAATTTTAATAACTTAAAAATAATTTATAACAGCTTGATGTGAGAGTTAATTTGTTTTAATTATAACGTGTAAAATGACTTATCTCAGCATTTTTCAATAGTTCTGAATGGAACAATTTTATTTAAAAAGAAAACAAACTGCTTACTACAGTTATCTTAGGTATCACCACGAGATCACTAAAAAATGAGCATAGCATGATGAAAAAGATGCCAAACTTGACAAAAACAAAATTTTATCATCTAAATGTTTATGCTATTATGAAGAGGATAGACCAAAGTTTATTTTAATTATTTTTAAAAATTTTTCCTTCTTTTTAGAACATTCTAAATTTTGATTAAAAAAAAACCTTGTTTCTCTTTGTATTACCGGAACTAGTAAAATAACATATACAATTTTTAGCACGTTTTTTTTTGTATGATGCACATTAATTTGGAAAATCTTGCAAAAATAAAAATAATTGTCGGATGTTAATGAAATTTTCAGAGATGATCAAAATTATTATAAATATGTTTTTTTTTTATTATTAAAGTCATGGCAGAAATTTTTTATTATTATTTATTACCCCCCCCATAACTAATTTTATGAAAACTCTAGAAATTTGATCAAGTCCACTTTAGTGATTACAAGGCTTTGAGGAATGCAAATCATGTTTTTTTTTTTTTTTTAATTGGACCCCCCCTACCTGAAAATCAGCTCTGAATTGAATTAAACATACAAAACTCAATAAAACAAAGATATTATTTAATTTCAAATTTTTATTTGCTTTTAGTTGTTTTTATGAATATGGACAATATTTTCTGAAAGCAAAAAAATTTTTTGATGAAAAATGAATTTTTAATACAATTATTTGTTATTTCTTTAATTATAATAGATTTTTTTTATTTAAGTTGTTAAAATATTATAAAATTAGTTAAAAGCCGCATCCGGTTTTCCTAAGTGTCCTTATGAGATAGATCTTTTTTTTTGCGCGTTGTAAATTGTATCATTTTTGACTAATCAGAAGACCCGCAGTAATTAAGAAATGTAATTTTGTGTTTATAATCGGGCTGTAATTATAAAGTACGGAAGACCAACCAGAATACAATTAAGTTGCGTTATTTGAGTTAAGCATTGTTCTCCGCTGTTAAGGCCTTTACTTTTGCAAAACACATGTGGAGAAGTTAATTTGATTTTTCAATTTCAACTGAGAAGGGTACCTACAAGTATCAGTATCATCTTATGAAATTTATATGATCTTATTTTTATATTAATCTCAGTTATGACATTTTTCCATAAATGAAATATCAAAATTAATAATAAAATGAATGGAAATACAAATAACACAATAAAATGTAGTAAATGTACATAAAATTATAGTATTTTATGTACACTTCTGATAAAATTTCATAAGAAAGGTACCTATAAATTAATTAGATACCTTTCTTATGAAATTTAATCTCACTCTTAACAGTCTTATTTTAATTTCTTTATAATATATTTTCCATAAAGCATTGTAAACGTAAAGGTGAAAGCTAAGTACAAAAAAAAAAAAAAAAAAAAATTAAAGTTTTTCCCTTAAAAAATAACAAGGTAAATAATTTGTCCACTTAAATGTAAATAACTTCACTTCTCTCCTTCC